CCTGCGTCTGCGCGTCTCTCTCTACAAGCAATGAGGCTTAGTTCCTTCAAAAACAGCGATTTTACCCCCTCATTGCAGAGAAATATAAAGTTGCGAGTCAGTAGCCTGTCGAAGCTATTTTACTAATAAAAGTTTCCGTGCTGTGTTGTCGTTGTCGTGTGCACTAATGTCTGTGCGATGGCGTCTATGAAAGCAGCGTAGCCTACTGTATATAGTTTTAGTTTAGCTATAAACCCGAGCCCGACCCGAACCCGAAGCTATCCATTAAACTTTAACCCGACCCGAAACCCGAAAGTATTTCGGGACCTGTCGGGCTCGGGTTGGGTAGCAGACCTCTAGTGCTCTTATGTCATTGATCCAGACATTTCCTTTTCTCTGCAGGACTCTGTGCGTCTCTTGGCGGTAGAAGCTGGCGTCAGCATTGCTACTCTGCTGCCACAGGAAGACTTGGAGGCTCTGGTCATGCCCACTTTACTTCAGGCCGCCGAGGACAAGTCCTGGAGGGTGCGCTACATGGTGGCAGACAGTACAGAGGTATTGTAGTGATATTTCTTTGATTCAGTGTTTTACTTTATTAAAAATAGCTGGTGAAGTTGATGTGGCAATAATTTAAAATACAACAACAACAAAAATACCTTTCAGTAATAATCAATATTAATGAAATAAAAATTTATAATAATAATTACTATTAGATGCTATCCCAGTTGTTGTTTTTTTGCACATCCAGTTTCATGGCTGGTAAAAAAATTTTATGGCTGGTGAATTTTCTGAAGTGACCAGTCATTGGCAGGTCTGACAAAAAAGTTTTTTTATAGAATAGAAATTTCATGATATTTGTACTTTGTAAAAAAAATTTAAAAAAAGATAATAAAGATCATTAAATATGATAAAATATATTAAAAAAGATGCAAGAAAATATATATTATTTTCCTTTGATACACTACATGACATTTTTATAGTCATTAAAATTGAGCATTTCTTGAAAACTATATAAATGTTTTTTGAAATCAACATTAATGTAAAAATTACATTTCTTAGAACTTGGAACATATATTTAGAACTTTATATATGTTTTTTTGTTTAGAACTTTATAAGATTTTTATTTTTGTGTGTGCTCTTTAGAGGTCTGCATGGGCTTTAAACTGAAGCCCGAACCCGACCCGTACCCGAGATCGTCTGACACGAGCCGAGCGGCACAGTTAAATTTAGAGCCCGAACCGTTATCCACGTCGCCTCTGAGACTCTGAAACAACTCTGGTTGTTTTTCTGTTTGTGTAAAGTTGCAAAAAGCAGTTGGCCCAGAGATCACCAAGACCGATCTGGTCCCGGCGTTCCAGAACTTGTTGAAAGACTGTGAGGCAGAGGTCCGGACTGCTGCTGCCAACAAGGTGAAAGGTGAGGTGTCCCACTGCCAGCTTCCCAAAGTCTGATGTCTCTATGAAAAGAGCCACACAACAACACCCTTATCCCATGGTCTGTTTATCTCTGCAGTATTCTGTGAAAATTTGCCTGAAGACAGCAGGGAGACCATCATCATGACTCATATTCTGCCATGCGTCAAGGTACACATTTTAATCTCACCCACTTGTTTATGAAATTGCGTGTGGCTGAACAGTTATGCCGCACGGTGCCAGCCAAGTTCTCAGGAGGGGGTACAAACTTGTTTTTTGATAATGTGATATCATATCTGGGAAGGTATCCAGGTTGTCTCTGCAAGAGATCTTGCAGTAGGTCTGGTTGTTTTTGTGTTATTTTGGGGGTGTTTACATTTTCGACATAAACAAGTGGTAGCTTTAAAGGGGTCATATGATGCTTTTTTAAAGATCATTATTTTGTGTATTTGGTGTAACAGAATATGTTGACATGCTTTAATGTTCAAAAAACACATTATTTTTCAAATACTGTACATTATTGTAGGTCCTCTATGCCCCGCGCTCTCTCTGGCGCGCTCTCTCTCTCTCTCGCGCGCTCTCGCGCGCTCTCTCTCGCTCTCTCTCGCGCGCTCTCTCTCGCTCTCTCTCCCACGTTCTCTCTCTCTCGCGCTCTCTTTCTCTCTCGCTCTCTCTCTCGATCTCTCTCTTTCTCTCACTCTCTCGCGCTCTCTCTCTCTCGCGCTCTCTCTCTCTCTCTCCCGCGCTCTCTCTCTCTCGCGCTCTCTCTCTCTCTCTCCACATAGTGAGGTAGATATGTGGGGTGTGTTAGAACGAGCCGTTTTAGGGGGGCGTGGCAGAGTCTTAACTTTGATAAAGTATATCTCTTTGGTGTTGAGACTTTAGTCTTTGCAACTTCAGGGATCTTATCTATGAACAATCAGCTTGTAACACTCCAAAGAGAAAGGAAAACTTGAAATCGCATCATATGACCCCTTTAAACGCCAAACGTGGCAAAAGCGAAACGAAATAGCGCTTCTCTTTTGAAACCGCGGACCTTTTATCAGCTCAGCTAAAAAAAAGAGAGCGTAGTGTGAGCTAAGGTGAATGTATTTACTACACTGACCAGTCACGATCACAAGACCACTAAACAGCACTGTGAGATCTAGTGATAGCGCTCTAGTTCAGCGCAGAGTTCTCCAGTACAAATCACATAGGTGTGTGATTTAAAGTAGTTTAAAGCCAAACCATGGTATTGTGGCAGAAAAGTAGAATATTTGGTCCCACTTTATATTAGGTGGCCTTAACTACTATGTACTTACATTTAAATTAATCATTTGATACAATGCACTTATTGTGTACATACATGTTTTTACATTGTACTTATATTTTTAAAAATACCTATATGTAATTACAGCTGTAATTAATTTCTATAATTACATTTATAATTACACGGTTGACCCATCCCTTACACCTTAACCCACCCTTAAACCTACCCATACCACCAAACCTGTCCCTAACCTTACCCATATCCCACCTCAATAGCAGCAAAAGTGTTTTGCAATACAATATGAACACAATAAGTACATTGTACTTATTTTTTGATGTAAGTACATAGTAGTTAAGGCCACCTAATTTAAAGTGTGACCGAATATTCATATTGAATTTTATTATATTAATAATGTAGTAAATATATTAAAGGAGTAATGGAATATAATCACAGTATTTTTGTTATTAAGTCATATCAGTTGTTTGTTGTGCATTTGTACTTATACTGAATGTCTTCAGGTTACTGTTTTTCATAGCAAATATTATTGGAACCATATAGTTAGGCTACTTTTTACCATGGTAGTGAGGTGCTGTACCTGTGGTTATCATGATCTACAGGGCATGCAAAATTTCAAAATCTCTGGTAGCCCTTCAGGCAGGCATTCTTCAGATTTTGGTAGCCCAAAAATGAATTTAACTAGCCCAATAAAAGATACTGTATTTTTTCTTCAAATAACAAGTCAAGAGAGTAGGGGTGCAACGGATCACAAATCTCACGGTTCGGACTATATTACATTATCATATCACATTTTGAGTCACAGATCGGATCATTTTTCAGATGAGCAAAAAAAAAAATATGGTTCTTTATTTAAGTAACACTTATTATTTAAAGAACAATTTACTACTTCAATACCACAGCTAAAACTAGTAGCATATAGGGATGTAACGATTCACTCAACTCACGATGTGATATGATTCACGATACTGATTTCACAATACAATTTTCTCACAATTTCTTTTTTAACAAAATTAGATTTAAGACCGATTTAAAAA